CAGAAAACCCTCAGACTTTCCGACTTTCAATTTGAAGGACCACCCTACGTGAATCTAAACTTCAAGGTTGATGAGGGAGGGGTAAATGTTGTTGGAATTTGAATAAAATTCACCAGGAGAGTTTTCTTGACTATCATAACGAATTCCGGTGGTTGGAGCTTAAAATGAATGAATTCGAAAATGTACATGGCATTAAGGATCACCCTATACCTAGTAGGCCTATAGGCTACTATATGTTTAAGGTTTATACCCTAATTCTAAACATCATATTTTAATGTTCCCCGCTATACTATTTAATGCATATATTTATATTATGAAAGGTCATTTTTATACAACATTGTTAGCTTGTGTAGTAGATTAGTTTACAGCTAACAAATACTGCTAGCTTAAGTAGCATCGCTAAACTAGCTACTCTGGTCCATTAGTAGATGAGCCCTTTATTCTGCGCAGTGATACGGTAGAAATAAATAACTCTTACCTGAAACTGCTGACAACAAGAACTGTGGATTATCTTGAGTAACTATTTTATGATTTCCTTAAACAGACATTGCTAGTTTATCAGATGTATTCGATAGGCCCTTGGACCACCACAGGGCCTGGTCCTATTCCACCGAAAGAAGAAAATCATGGATTGTTTTTTGTTTCTTTTAAAAAAAACTGACATGATTCCATTTCTAAGAATCCAGCATTTGTCAGTGTTTTGACAACTAGACTTATTGACCTTATTTTTCCCAAGTATGTCTGTGAGTGACCCCTGATCGGGGTCAGCTGTCATAAATAATCAGTCATTGACATGGCAGACAGAGGTGACCAATAGGATTTTGGGATCAATGGATGTTAGTAAATCAGATTATCTGATCAATGTGAGATGTGAAATAGGATTAAATGGTCAATGAGTTAGCAGCTGAACCTCTTCAGGACTGAACATCACTGTCCAATTAATTATAGTCACGAAATTGGTTAAATATGTAAAATGACTAGCTACAGTCATTTCAATTGCATTTAGTCTGATAGAGTTTGTAGTGCACCCATATTTTTCAGCCTTATTTCCAGTGCTAGATTATGTTCACTAATGTAGAATTTAAAAAATCAGATCAGGTCCTAACATTCAGATTAGGCTGGATTCCAGGTTTTGGATAAGAGGAAATATTTGTGGTTCCAGAAAAATAATAAATACTAGTATTTGGATTATGATTGGATTATATAAACTGAACAAACTAGAAAAAGTCAACATTTTATTGGGATGAATTTATTCTCTTATTCATTATTCTCTATAGTGCTTTTTAACATTCATAAAAAAACAAGCTTTTTTTCTATAGGTGCAATATATGACATGACGCTTTCCATTGAGATTTAGACTATACACACATACAACTTCATTCACTCCCAATGGACCATTTAGGACCATTGCCTAATCAGCGCGTTATGAAATACAGAACGACTTTTCCCCTCGCCACGCACACGCTTTCAATAAGCCCTCTCACTCAGTTGCTCCCGTCACTTGACATCCCACAATCCCCCCCAGTTTGGTCTCAGCAGGTCATACGCGCCACTCCAAACTCCAGGCTCACAGCAGCTGGCTCCTCTTTGGCCAACTCGCTGCTGTATGTCCCATCCAGCTCTCCGTAGCTCTGCTTCCTGCTGTCGGTGCCGCTGCTGCCCTCCACTGACCGCTCTGTGTCAGTGCTCTCTGTGGCCTCCTCGCCCACCTCCTCCTGATCGAACTCCTCCTCCTGTCGCTCCACCTCTTTGTGGTTGATGGGAGCCCCCAGGATGAGTGAATCGGGCCGCGCCGGGAGGGTGTTGCAGTGTTGATCTCTGGTGGGAGGAGGTGCAGGGGGGTCAGAGGTCACAACGGGGGTCACACCGAGCTGAAGGAGCCGCTGGACAGAGAGGGGAGACAAAACAACACAGAGAAAGATGTTTTTAATCAGAAATGTAAGTAACGTAGAGCAGGGAGTCGACAAATCAAAGGGTTGACCGTTCACCCTCACGATATTTTCATTTGTTATTTTATATAAATTCAAATTAAAAAAACATAATTCCAATCATAGTTTCTGAAGGAATGGGATTTTATTTTATTTCATATCCATACTGAATTTATAAAAGATACATTGAGAAATCAGTGACTTCAATATATTTGCTTTATAAAGATAATTAATGCATGTAAACTCACATTCTCCAGCGCTTGCAGTGCGCTCTCTGCCTTGCGGCCTTCCTCTCTCAGATTCAGAACGGTTTTGAGGATCGACTGACGGGGGTGCATAGACCGATCAAACTGGTGGTACATGTTCCTCCAGAACCTGAGAAATAAGGACTGTAAGATGCCATGTATACACTTGTATTATAACTACAGGGAGGAGAGGAGCTGTACTGACTTGAAGTGGTAGGGCAGAGTGGAGGGCTGCAGCACAGGGTGGGCTTTAGAGTATGCAGGGCTGTAGAACGGATTCAAGTAGTTCTCCCTCTCGCTCATTAGAAACGCCCACAGAGAGTGGGTCCGTTCCCTCAGCCTGGAAACAAATAGAAGATATAGTCAGAGGTGCACATAACTGGTACGCAGGTACGCATGCGCGGCAACAATCCGAAATGCGTACCGTCACTTGAGTCACAAAGCGCATTTGCGTACCGACGTACTTGTGAAGCTTTTCCAGAAGGCGGTTAGATCACCGGACGACAGTCGGTCTCCGTGTGCACAGGCAGGGCTGCTGTTAACGTCGGTCTGTACGACGGAATTGTGCCAAAACTACGCCAACCGGGCTGCGGAGGGAGAGACTCCCTCCCCGCTTCACTGGAGAACTGCGCTAAAAGTTGATCCACAACGGTCACGCTCTGTGG